ATTACTTAATTATAGAAGGTAACTCATGCAAAACATGATTATACGAAATCAAACCTACCGATATAATCATTGTCTTGGTCGTGCTTTTTCTCGTCTACAAATATAAAACTTAAATAGGAATAACCCGTGTACCTTTCCTGGATCACATTTTAAGGACACTTGAATATAAAAATTCTAGCACAACAACAGCGACGTCCTTAATACTTCTTGTTGTCTGGGAAATGCAGATACTTTGTAATAAAAGAGAAACCTCAGTAAATTTAATCCGTATTACAGTTGGACTTATGTCAGTTTCTGATTTATCGGTTAAAGCCCTTTTGTGTATGCAGTACTTAAACAGTGTACGCTTTAAAATTCAAGACGTACCTAACGTTATGCCGCCGTAGTTTGTAGACATAGTATTATGTAAATTTTGATCGGGTAATCTGTAGAATGTACTGTTCCATCAAATCTGAACGTATTGTATGCAAAATACGAAGGTACGCATTAGCTAGGCATACCGTTACCAAATAACTTCGGTGCACTTACTATTAATAATAGTAATAGTGACGGTACGCAATGGTCTAATGTTTAAGCCTACTGTATTAGGACTAAAGAATATATAGTTTTAACGGTTTTAGTTTGTAACAGGCTTTTTTTGTTGCCATTAATCTACTCAAATAAAGAAATTGTATAATAAATATTGCTACTGACTTACGTTTTTAATATCGGAATTTCATTCGGCATAAATAGATGATATAGCAGTATTAACATCTAACAAGGAGAAGTTAGAAATGGCCTTATGGAAGCGGTATTGATAAAACAGTATTATATGAAAATAAATAAAAGTCAAACAAAAATGCCTGTATACGAAGGAAGAAAAAGAACGAATATAAAGATAGAAAATTAGAAGTAACTAATTTTCGGTACCTTGAAGGTTAGATAATTCAGGATGGAAGGAGCAGTAGAGATATAAANAGTCGTCTTCAATAAAAATAAGTCATTCTTCTTTGTTCGCGATCAATTAATTTAGAAGATTGCCTGGAACTTGGCTCTGTAGGGGTGCGAAACGTGGACGGTGAGCGCGCTGGAAAATGGTAGAAGTGTTCGAAATGTGGTGCTACAGGCATGAGAATACAACGATTAGAAAAGGTTACACATGAGGAGGTACCAGAAAGAATAGGAGAATAGAGGTCGCTATGGGAGTCAATAAGGAATAAGCGAAAGAGGTTGGAACGACACTTTCTCAGGCATAGAAGCCTAGTTAGATACATATTAGAAGCAGAAACGGGAGTTAAGAGGAGTAGAGGTAAATCTGGATTGGATAACTGTTCACAAATAGTTAAGGATGTATGATGTTTTAGTTTCAGGGAAATGCGAAGATAAGCCGAGGATATATAGGAAAAAGTAGAGGTGACGACCTTGTGATGATCATTATTAAGTAGATAATTAATTTTATAAATTAATGTTGACTTTTTAGAGATTTTTGCAATATTAATACATGGGGTTGGATTAGGTTGACGATCGTGTCTAATTCGATTTCAGATCATCCAGAACCAGTGGTTTATTAGCATAAAGTTCCACATTAAATAGCCTTATAGGAAAAAGGTAAAAGGTGTAAGATTTAGAGACCGTGGGGACCATTCCATAACTCATTGTTATATACTTTCAGTTTAAATGTTAAAAAGTTTACGGCTCAGATAATTGTTATTATATTACGAAATACGACCGAAAAATTCTTTACCGAAATCCTTTTTGTCGCTTGACTGACTGTCCTTGCCGTTACAAGTTATTAAACGCGAAATCGGTCGTTATTTTGTAGCGATAAAGGTACTTGTATGAAATGGTTCGTCATACATTATTGCACGCAATGTTCTTTGAACAGGCAATGGACCATTACCGGCTGTTTGGGACGAGCTCGCATACAGGAAATAAATTACGACAACACGTTTCCTGTTTGGCTCTAAGGTTGCAAACACATCTGATGGACGACACGCTGAATGTGCGGACTGCTCTCGATTTAATTCGTTCACGTAATATTTTCTGCATTATTTAATACCTGTGTTTACGTACAAAAAGATTGAACTTTTGCCACTAGGAATAATTGGTTGCCTATACCTACTACTGGCATTTACTTTGTTTAAACCAGAATTAGTTTAAATACAAACAAATAAAGTTTTGGTAACTTCATTATTACTTTACGTAAATCTGTGTGTTTACAAAAAGTCGTAATTTTAGACTTTTTTACGTCTTTTTATCGGATAAATGTAATGGCCAGCACCTCCGCCATATTTTATATGCTTTACTAATTTTTTCTTTTTGTTATTATGTTAATATTTATGTTAAGAAGAACCCCAAATAACTAAAACATTCAATATATCTCTTCTAAATAAACAAGAAACGACGACAAAATCTCTAAAAAAGAAGAAAGGTCCATCCTGATACAAGAGATTCCTTATTTACTACCAAGGCACTTCTAGGTACTCTCTCTCTGTGTTTATATACAAAAAAGACGCTTTAGGTGTCGTTTGATGGTGTCATTGTTTTGTAATGTACGTTAGTTTTATGTTTTGTTCTCTTCTTATTGCCCACGACCAACAATTTAATACAGGAGAAAGTAGATACTAACAAGATAATTAACTCTATCCAATAACACACTTGAAGCGCATATCTTTTATGATGTCTTGATCAAACAATGTTATGGGTAGTTGTCAAAATATGAAACAAAAATACAGTGTGCAGGTAGTGTACTTAAACTACTTGTCCAGCAGAAGAATGATAAATCCTGTAAAGCCTTAATAAAAATGCATACTTAAGCATAGTATTATGTTCAAAAACTGCAATGTAGTATGTACTATATTCTGCTTTCTATTATTGCGGAATTTTTTTGTGTCTGATATGTATTAATGATAAAATATGCAGATATTTCATCATTAATCGTAACTAAACAATGCTCATTAGTACTAGAAAGCACTTCTTGTGTAAATTGAAACAGGTAAAAGCAATTCGAAGTGCATTCTGTTAATATTATGTCAACATTGCAGAAACTTCAGCATTCTTGGAAACTGATTTCTTACAAGTCAAGTTAATTATCGGTGGTTTAAAATAAATACTAATTACCTACAGTAAAAATCGCAGAAATATTTTCTTAAGATTTCTTTCTCAACATTTACAAATTAAGAAAATTCAAGCCGAATTAAGGACGATTAAGGTAGAAAAATAGGTGCAAAATGTTTATTTAATAGCAAAAAAGTAAAAGTAAGTAAAAGGGTCCATTTAGGGTAACCACTTCAAGTCAAGATCAAGCTAAGTAGGGGTTGCATTTAAACAGTTGAAATACGGTATTCACATCAGAGTCTTAATCGGGCACGTCCTAAAACTGTTCTGCTAAGGTATCCACATGAGGGCCAGATCAAACTCAATAGGGGACACCTACAATTAAACGGTTGAAATAGAGCATCAGGGTCGCATTAAGCTAAAAAGGGCATAAAATTAAACAATAGGGCCAGATCAGACTCGGAGTCTGCCTTAAAGGATTTGCCATTTGAATTTAACAATTTAACATTTTGTGATGAATTACGATAATTTTGCAAAATAATTTTTAATTCGGTTCGTTACTGATTTTTGCTGTTGTTACACTTTACAGTTACATAGGTACATCACTATCCGACAAAAAGTCAGTCCTTTGTTTGCTAATTTGTAATATATATTCGTATAGAGAAAGGCATTATTTTCAGAAATGCCAGAACTAATTTGGAAGCCATTGTGAAAAATAATTACTAATATACTTCTCACATTTAAAGCTTGCAACTCTTGTATTATATTATGAAATTGTAAAACAATAAAAAACAATTAGCCAATGTATGTTTATTTCATTAAATAAACCGGTTAGGCATTGTATGCTAATGATAGTGTAAGATTCAGGATATGAGAAAACTATACGTAATTAATTACTTAACATAACTTCGTTCAAAATATGTACCTATTAGCTGTTCTGCTTTATAAAAAAAGTCTAAAAATCTTTTAAATAATGTGTACCAATCCTCCAAGTCTTTAAACAGCATTTATTGGGCTTATATTGCTTTATCATTAATGTAAAAAGTTGACTGAAGATATGAATTTTCCTATATCACGTCTTATTTGTGAAAAGATCAAGTTGCCCTTTGATGACTCCCCATGTCTCATTTCGCCAGTAGTTTATAAAATTTGCTTACTGATATACAGTGTAAACTCTATATAACGACACTTAAGGGACTGAACATTTTGCGGCGTTATAAAGAGTGGTCGTTAAATGGAGAGAAATAAAAGATATTATTTTACTATTCTATAATAATATGCATTTACTAATATAGTACACATTTTCCACACGAACATTATTATTCATACATTGCGTATAGCCTGTTATCTTCGTCTGATGTTTCTTGCTGCTCCAATATTTTAACTGTATTTTGTTACGTATCTTACTCATATCTTGAGATACTGCTGGATCAATTTGATTATATAAAAAGTATTTTTTTAATAGTTTCCCTGCATCAAGTGCTTGTTTGATGCTTGGTGGAGGGACAGGATCGTCTTCTTCAACAACGTACACAGCTGCAGTTCTTATCTATTTCGGCAACTTAGAAAGCACTGCTTAATGAATTATAATGCCGCATTGTTGTCGTTAAATAGAGTGAGCGTGACGGTATATAGAGTGTAATGTTGTATAGAAAACAATGTCAAGCAATTTCGACGTTTTAAGGAGTTTGTCGTTAAATCGAGTGACGTTATAAAGAGTTTACACTGTATTTCAGTGTTTCCAATTCTGTAAAATTACATTTGTGCTTGAAGTTAAGTATTGTCCAAAAATGGCATTACCCACCCTCCTTATTGACGTTATACCTATTTAATATTTTGTTTTGAAAGCCTGTTACCTATACACATCAGTTATAATAATTAATATTGGTTTGTGCTTTTTGCAAGAATTCTTTGAAATTGGCTTTCCTTGCGGCAATTTTCTTCTTCTGCGTAGATATTTCGCTCACTCATGGTACGATGGTTTCGTCTCCCACCAGCAGAAACTGTTCGTCTTTCATTACCTATACACTCTGTGTCATGGTGGTGTTGCACGTATTTGTGCTACTGCATGTTCTTCGGCGACTCAAGCAGCACCATCAACAAACGACGTAAGCAACCTCGTTTCGTGAGTGCTTGACTGCTATAGTTCCCGGTTCGTGTAAGCGAACTTCCTTTTCTTCTCGTGATATACATACGATTAGTACCGTTTCTTGGTAATTTACGGTAGCGATGGAGGTGTGGACGGGACACCCGTGACCTCTGCCTCCAACCCACCCCGAAAGCTGTTCGCCGAGTGACAGATTCTGATCAGTGTTTGTTAATGGGCTTGATTGTTATTTTTTGGAACAAGTGCTTTATATTAAACTAATTAAATGAAAGTATATAAACTATAAAAATGAATAAGATCTATACTTTTGGGAAAGGCGAAAATGGCAAAAAGGAAAAACCCAAAGCTGCTTTGTTATTCCACGATATCACAATACCACAGGTAAAACAATTAGATTTAATTGCAGTAATGAACGTATATAGACTTAGTTACTGACAATGTGACTATAAATGCTACACATTTTCTATAAATACAAAAGAGCATATAATTAAGAAAAGTTAAAAAGAAATCTATTAAACAAAAGGCACCAAAAATTTTCACGTCTGTCGGTACAAAGTTATTTATTTGCTGTAATATGACACTTTAAAATCTATTGTTCAAAACCGAAGTTGTACCTACAAGTGTGAAGAGATACATCAAGCAGTTATCATATAAATTAATGGATCCATGGGTTAATAGCATTAAAATGTAATTCAATCTAAAAATTAATAGTGAAAGTAATGGGCTCGGCTGTCAATTGAAATTTATGATCTCTTTATCATTTTTACCCATGAAATCATAATGAAATTCAACTACTTATAGATGAATAGATTAAAATAAATTTCTAAAATTCATAAATCATATGAAATACAAGACAAATCTACACAAAAAAATTGTTAAAGTTAATAACTATTTGTTTTGTAAAAAGTGGTTGCGAAACGAATTCATCGACCTATCAAAAATTCATAAATAAAATGCAAAAGAATTAAGAAAGAAAGTGTGTAGGATGCATTTAATAAATTTTATTGCATAAAACTAAAAAGATTGCATTTTAGATATTTCTAGTTAATGCTTCTATTTGAAAATGAGAATTTCTATAGATAATAAATTCGTTCAAACAAAAGTTTAGTACGTACGTCCAAATTCGCATAGATTCACCACTCCCTTAATAATAAGAAAAGTGCACAAAACCGAAAGTTGCTTTAAAAATTATCAACTTTCGTCTTCATTTAGAGAGTGATTATTTGAGACCTAAAATATACACTTCAATACATGTATATGCACATACATATTTACTTGGAAATTAACAAGTACACCAAGTTGTATTAAACATGATACATGCCTACATTTACGTTTCCTTGTTTGAAATGGCCTTTAGGTAAGAAAGTACGCAAGAAAATGTTCTCTTTTGTCATTAACAAGTAACTACATTTACATAAATTTGTTTCCTGGTCATACAATGAGTGAAAGTTTTTGCAAATGTGGATAAATTTAATTACTACATATCAAACTGGAGCTTTCACAAAGCTTATCATAATAAAAAGTAACTGTATCGCATTAGGTACTGTAAGATGATGAATATAAAGACACGCTTTAAAATTCACGTAAGAAGTAATTGGATAAAAAGTTTTTTAATTAAAGGTTACTAATTTTTAATGATTCATAAAGTATAGAGCTAGCTATCTGCACTTCTTTGCCGAAATTTTGCAAAAATGTGGCTCAATAGTCGTTGACTTTTTTAGCATAAACCTTTGACTTCAAATAACCCAAAAGAAAAGTCCCACGATGTTCAGTCACATGATCTGGGAGGCCAAGTTTGATCATCAAAACGGGAAATTACACGAGCAGGAAATAACTCCTGCAGTAATTGCATATTGTTTCTTTTAGACTTTAAATGCTCCAAATAGCACAGTTTTGTCGATTAATAAAATGATGAATATGGAGCTTTATCAATGAAGATGATTTTGTTGGAAAAATCGGCATCTAGTTGTTATTTCATAATCTTTTAAACCAACTCTGCCCTGTACTTAGTCAATATTAGGCTTCTATTTTTGATTCAACTGAACTTAGTCAGTACAAAAATATGCAAATCTTTCATGAGAATACGCTGTAGAACAACACTCTGAAGAACTGCTTCGATGTTTTACACTAAACAATTCGTTGAAAGACGACCCCAGAGTATATAAGATCACTAACTGATCCACTTTTTCTCGATTTTTAAGCAGTCCCTACATAGTTGATAAAGTTATACCACTATTTTATACGAAAATGGTGAATTGTGCTGACAAACCCTCATTATTTTAAAAATATGGCTCAACAATATAGTGAAAACGTATTGTTCTTTTAGTGTCCAACTCCTGAATTTAATGCACAAACGGCTCCAAATTCAAATCACACTTTCGCCCTTGTGAATTGTTCGCGCTTTTTTACCTACATTTAATTAGAAAGTTATCCAAAGAAAAATCGTCTTCAACGATTTCTTAGTGTTTTTCATTTACTGTGAATTTGTAATTATATTATTATATTAATAGATCTGGCGATAGACAATTCGATGTTATATGCCTGTATGGAATAGAGTATGTTTGCAACATCATCTTTTGCAATTTTCCATTTACTTTTGCTTGAAATGTAAAATTAGTTTTAAATCCACTAAATAGATATTTCGATACCTTTTATGTACATTATTCTAGATTTCGAGTTAAGGCACGAAAAATGAGTGTCGACATTATTAATTAAACCGTTGCATTACTTATTTATACTGTCGATTTTGAAACAAATTGTAAAGCTTACATAACTCCTCTAAAACGTATCATGCAACCGAGAATAATCAAATCAAACTTTTATAGCTCTTATATGCATATATGTGTATCTTACACGTATAAGATCAATTGGGAAGTAGTTTCCCTGCATTAAATAATTCACGTTATCATCATAACCTTCACAACAGTTTGTTTAGCTTCGTTGGGGTTCGAAAATTCTTGAGTTATTTGGGATCTAAATTAAATTGACAAGATACCGAGGTTTAAGATCAATTCACATGATCATCATAAGGTCGTCAGTCCTAACTCTGATTGGACACGCACATCCACTCTTTCCTATCCTGAGCTAATCTTCGCATTTCCTTAAAATTAGAACAACCCACGTCCTTAACTATTTGCAAACAGTAATCTAATCTAGGTATGCCTCTACTCCTCTTAACTACTGTTTCTGCCTCTAATTTGTCTTTGATCACTCTGTTCTCCTATTATTTCTAATACCTCTTCATTTCTAACCGTCTCTATCCACGGTATCCTCATAATTCGCCTGTAACTTCACATTTCGAACGCTTCTAATCTTTTCTTTTCCGCTGCGCCCACTGCCCACGTTTCGCACCCGTACAGGGTCGCGCTCCAAACATACACCTTTAATAACCTTTTTCGAATTTCTAAATTAACTGTTCGCAAGCGTAGAAGTGACTTCTTTTTATTAACCGAGCGGCATGGCCTAGAGGTCTAGACCATTGCTTAGCATTCGGGAGGACGCCGGTTCGATTCCGGGTCCGCCTGCCTTGGTCCAAGTTTTTCTGTGGTTTCCTTGGATCACTTAGGCAAATGCTGAGGCAGTAATATTCCACAGATAATCTTTCACTCTCTTCTGTCTTCATTTCGTCCGTCTCATCTTTCTCACCCGAACCACCACCCACCCATTCCCACGATTCCTGAAAGCAGGCTGAAGAGGGCCTGCCGCCCTACCTCCCGGCATAGTCCGGAGGGACTGCCCGCCCACCAGCATTACTTGCTGGTGGGAATGAAACACCCAAAAGTTTTTTTTTTCTTTTTATTGAAAGCGACTTGACCCTGCGCTATTCTCTGCTTTATATTCCTACTACTCCTTCCGTCCTGACTTATCTGACTTCCTAAATACCTAAAATCAGCCACTTCTTCTTTCGTCTCCTATATTCATATTCGCTCATTCCCTAAAATAGAAATCCTGACTGCTTTGATTCTCAGAGGAGTTTTCTTGGAAAAATGAGTCAACTAGAATAGTAAGCTTATAAAAAGCTCTCAATTGCCAAATAAAAGTGAAAAACTGAATCGCATATATCATTTACTGGTCATTTAGTCATTCGGCGTCTACGTCAGTACGGTCAGCCCGATGAATGTTTGTGTTTAAATGTACGCAACTAGTGGACGTATAAAAGAAATCATTTCCCGTTATGCAGTTCATTGCAACGAGGAAATTGCTTGTAAACCAGTTCTAAAGTCCCTTGCTGCACCTGTTTCTATCGCGTCCGAACAAAAAGATCATTTTTCCTTTCCTTCCACATATATTGACATTCTTCGTGTATCTAGAATGTCCGACCCTCTTTTTGTCTAGAGCTGATGGCGTTTCTTCACTCTATGTCAATGTCAGTGAACTCGAAACTAATTAGCAACTGATGACGATGATGAGAAATGAAAATAATAACAGTGAACTTGTGCATTTCCTTCATCGCCTCTTCCTTTCTGTTGCACATTTGTTTTACTTTTAGATATAAGTATTCGCATCCTTTTTTAGTAAAATCACAAAATTCAAAAGCGACTCGTCTATTATCCTATGTATAACTGAATTAATTTTTGTTGCTATCGATTCTATGTAGAGGCATGAACGTCTAGTCAGAGATATACTAGAGGCAAAAACAGGAGTAAAGAGGAGTAGAGGTAGACCTAGACTAGATTACTGTTTGCAAATGGTTAAGAATGTGGGATGTTCTAGTTTTAGGGAATTGCGAAGATTAGCTCGGGATAAGAAGGAGTGTAGGTGCGTGTCCAACCAGTCTTAGGACTGACGACCTTATGATGATGATGATGCTATCGATTCTACAAAATATGATTTGATTTTCCAGCAAATAGTATAGTGAAATTTCCAAGAGGTTGCTAGTAAGTTTAGTATATATATGAAGAAACCCTTAAACAATTAAAATACTAATATAGTTTCAGGAATTTAATCCATTACAATCACTATAATCGTTCAGATAAGACATTTTCCGCTTTAGGGGAAGAAGAATAGAAGAAACAATTTTCACTGCTACTAAAGTCCACAGTGTGAAACTCGAATGAAAATAGTTACACATTTTCAACACAAAACTGTACACAATGAATAGTTTCGTCAATTTATTATTCAAACTCAACAATACTGTTACAATCTTTAGAAACCCTTGCCGAGGATAATGTGTTACTAACAGTTTTTCATTTGCATGTACAGAATAGAGAATGACTATAACTGTATAAAATTATGGGGCATTTTCTTTACGTGCAAAGATAAATGTATCCATTGTAGGTTTGTTTCCGTACCCACATGAGAAAACTGTTTACTTTTATTGCTGCATGGGACGTTAGATACAATCAAAGCTGCAAGGTATAGGAGTATCGCTTATTTTCACG